CCAGTAGTTCCTGAGATTTCCTGAGAAACAAACAAACAAACAAACCTTCAGCTTTATATAAGTATATTAGTATAGATTTACAATTTTGTACGCGTCTAAATTAACATTTAAATTTTTCATTTCGTGATTCAAAATATCCGACAAATAGGTCGATACCGCATTCTGAGAAGTTTATATGTTTCACCTTACATCACGTGAACCCTAGGCTTCTCTGTCGTCCTCTATAAAAAAGAGAAGTACGTTAGATATGGAAAGAATAAATGTACTATACAAATATACTGATCCCGCAAGAATCGAACCCCCGATATTATAACTGAAAATGGGCTATACCATTATAAGCCACGGCCCATCGAATATATATTTTGTTGTTGTATTAACATCTCGTTTTTAATAAAGAGAGATTTATTAACAAAAGTACTCCCTTGAGGTCCTGTAATTTAACAGCAAATAAACCCTTCTTAACAGGCTTTTCTCAGTACAGACTTTATTACTCTAAAGAGAATTATGTTACAGTTTTTTTTTCACTGTAATTAAACGTCGTTTCCATGGATATAAAGTGGATGAAAACCATTACGTTGAGAAAATAACCTTTTCTGTCTTATCTTCTAAGGAAATTTAAGTGAGGTATTTATAAGGCTGTCGCGTTGGTCTAGTGGCTCTTCCCCAAAATTTTTTGGGAAAAAAGAAAAATTTTAAAGTGGTCTCGTTTTTGGCGGGAACACCATTATCATAAAATTTGTAAATCTAATAATCACAAATATTGAAATAAAAAATGGTTATAAAAAAAAAAAAGAGCACAACAACCAAAAAAAAAAACAAAAAAAAACCCCAAAGGGGGGGGGGGGGCCCCTTTTTTTTTTTCTCAAAATTTTTTATTTTTTTTTTTTTTTTTTTTTTTTTTTTTTTTTTTTTTTGGGTTTTAAAATAAAGGGGGGGGGGGGGGGGGAGGAGAAAAAAAAAAAAAAAAAAACCCCCTCCGGGGTTAGGGGGGGGGGTTTTTTTGTGGGAGAAAAAAAAACCCCCCCCCCCCCCCCCCCCTTTTTTTTCTCCCCCCCCTAAAAAAGGGGGGGGGGCTTTTCCGCAATTGGTACCCCCCCCCCCCTTTTTTTTTTTTTCCCTCCTTCCCCAAAAAAAATTTTTTTTTTGGGGGGGGGGGGGGGGTTTTTTGGGGGGGGGGGGGGGGGGGGGGGGGGGGGGGCCTTTGGGCTTTTTTCCCTTTTTTCCCCCCCCAAAAAAAACGGGGGGGGGGGAGCAACCCCCCCCCCCCCCCCCAAAAAAAACCCACCTCCTTTTTTTCCCGAAAAAGGGGGGGGGGGGTGGGTTTTTTTTTTTTGTTTTTTTTGGGGTTTTTTGTTTCCCCCCCTTCTTTCTTAGAGGGAGGGCCCCCCCTTTTCCCCCCCCCCCCACCCCCCCCCCCCTTTTTTTTTTTTTTTTTAAAATTTTTTCCTTTTTTAAGTTTTAAAGTTTTTGTTAAAAAGGAAAAAAAAAAAAATAAAAAAGAAAGGATTAATTTAAAAAAAACCCCCTTTCTTTTCCCCTTTCCAATTTAAAAAAAAAAAAAATTTTTTAAAAAAAAAAAAAACACACAAAAAAAAAAATTTTTTTTTTTTAAAAAAGGGGGGCCCCCTCGGTGGGAATTTGTTTTTTTTTTTTTGGGGGGGAAAGAAAAAAAAAACAAAAAAAACACCCCTGGGGCCCCCCCCCGTGTTTGGGGACACAAAATTTTTTTGGGGTTTTTCCCCGGGGTTACCCCCAACCGGGGTGCCGGGGTGTTTGATAATACACTTTTTTTTTTTTTTGGGGGGGGGGGGAAAAATTAAAAAAATTATTATTTTTTTTGTTAAATTTAAAAAAAAAAAAAAAAATATGTTTTTTTTTTTTTTAAGAAAAAAAAAAAATTTTTTTTTTTTTTTTTTTTTATAAAAAATTTTGGGGGAAACCCCGGGGACGCCTGGGGGAAACACCGTTTTCGGGGGAAGGGGGGGTTGAGAACCACTGGTCTAGTGGTTCGTGCTTATCGGTTTAAACTTGCCAGGTTTTGATTCTTGCCTTGAGTTTTTTAAGAATCGGTTACAATTTCTATGACTAACGTTTAACTCTTAAGCCTCTTTTAAAAAAGAGAGACTATTGCCCAGTTGTGGGACTATAAAATATAAAATTCCCAGGACAGTCTTACTATCAGAACCGTTTCTCATAGTCATTATTATCGTGAAATATGTACGAATTATATACAAATTGACGTTATTAAGTCAATTATTATGCGTCGTCTAACAAAGTATCGCTAGAGCTTCTACTAAATAGCTAGAGTTAACGCGGTCACACACGAACGGTCCCAAATCCACTGAAAAAGTATTAGCGCGCACTATATTCAGCAAGTGGCAATAAAACACGCACAGTTAACAGTTTAACTGCCATTTCGCCGGTGTATGTCTCTCAATAAGTAATTATGATTCGAATAGTTGGCACAAATCGGTTTTAGATTTATGGCGGTACGCGCAATGACCCGCGACCGATCGCCACGCGAAATAAAACCAGAAGCGTGTAGAACTGTGTGTATTTTGCGTAAACAGAGCAATTCTTTACTCAATTGAATACATTTAACGGATTTAAACGCGATGATTTGCTGAATATTAATATAATAGATTTTTTTTTTTATGTAGGAGAACAGACAACAAGGAACCCTTCACTTGATGGTAGGTGATATACCTCAGCCTATAGCATCTAAACAAGATGCGTTATCGGCCTATTTTGGCTTTCTATATTCGGTAATCCACAGACTGATACCGAAACGCGATTAACCTACAAGTTATACTAAAATGTAACGCGAAATATAATAGTTTAACTATGACCCGACGTTACGAACAGCTGCGGCCACAGAGGTACTTAAGATGGAGTAAGTGGTACATCGAGTCATAATTATAGTTAAGATGACTTAATTAAAATATTAAAACGAGATCTATCAGAGTGCAGGTTTGCCAACTCCAAAGAATTCGGTTATAATAGTGACATATAATGCATGACATTTAAAATTTTCATTTAGTTTTTTTATGATAGAAGAGGGGAGATAAGCACGGGGTGCCCTTGATGGTAGGTGACATACCCCATTGACATCACATCTGAACAAGATTCGCTATGTTCGATGCGATGTAATGGTCGACCTGTTTTTTTTGGATATTCGGAAAAACACAGACTAAAACGGACATGCGATGGTTTGCGACCCGGACGGACCTTGAATGGAACACCTATTTAATATTCAGATTTCCAGACAAAGTCCAACATGTTCCAGAAAAAATATAAAATGATAAATCAGTTGGACCTGAGGCACGAACTCACGTCCAAAATAATATAAAGTTGAAAACATTTTTAGTTTTAGTGACACATGTTTTTTCAATGAACAACAATGAAGCCATAACATAACCACATCATAGACTATCGCAAGCAAAAACCTTCTTACAACTAAAATGAATGTTCGCAGTTATCCAAAACATCAATCTCTGAAAAACACATGTTCCTTCAAAACAATCAATTCAACTATTTCAATGAACAAACATAAATTCGCTTTGCTTTTCAAACATTCGCCACAGTGCCAAAACGCAACAAAGTGACAAATTATAGCTAATTTTTATCTTTCGCCAAGCAGAACCAACTCAACGCCACAGCTAGGTTAAAACGGCTAACTCAAAATACATTTTATATTTATATACGATGTTTTATTAATAGACGCTCCTGACTGCCTCGTTTGTTCAATGGTAGTACACTCAACTGCAGATCGCAAGTTCTGGGATTCAAATTCTGGGTCAGAAGAAAAGTCAAATACCTAGTTCGCAATGTATTAAGAAAATGTTTAGTACATTTATTTATTGGTGGCATTAGTTAAAACCTACCAATCTACACTGGAGTAATGTAATGGGATAGATTCTTTATGTGCCCAGTAGTGAATATATAGGTTAAAACGAAAGCATTTTGTTTCATAAAGATATAATTTCGTTCTTTTTTGGACTATTGGAAAAAGACAAAATATGTAAGTTTTATTAATAGACTCTACATTTCTCAATAAGTAAAACGGACACTCTGTCTCTTTTTTAATATGTGTGGAAACACATTTTTTTGTCCCAATAGGATTCGAATGTATAACTGATCAAGTAACTAAGGTAAACAGTAAAAACATACTATTATCTATTTCTTATAGCCAAATTTTTTTCAAAAATGGAACGAAAAGTTTAAATCTAGAATAATTACTTCAACAGTGCAAAAATAGTATGTCTAGTGATAAATGAGTTCGTTGAAATAGTTACGATATTTTCCGAATGAGTTAGCTGAAATAAATTATCTGTGGTTGAAAAAAGTATGGGCAGGAAATGAACAAAATATCAACTCGCAGCTGCACTGATAAAAATAATGGAATACACAGAAGAAATAAATTTAAATTAGTCTGGCCGTATTTTTAAAAATAAAGCGTGTGAGGAAGAATGCGGCAAGTAAAAAAACAAAAACAAGCGATGAACGTTTTGCGACTGCAGTTGTTTTAATAAAAATAATCAAACATATTTATTAATTTAAAATTTCAAATGTTTCCTTTCATTAAATATAAATAAATATGAATATACCTTTATAAAAAAGTAATAATTACAATATGCTTTAACGTTGCCTTTCTTTTTAAGCTACTTCAAAAAAGAGCTTCGTAGATCCATTCGTATAAATGATTTCTCTTCGATTTATCTTCTTAAAAACCGATGTCGTATTGTTTTTCTTTGAACCAATTTCATATATAAACTCATACAACTTATTTTAACAGTACTGACTTTTATTAGGGATATCCTGCATCTTCAATCCCCCCGTGACCATGCTTGAAAGGCATCCGATACGTCGGGCCGTATTTAAAAACAAATTAACTAATATATTTCGGTAAAGCGATTGTTAAATATAAGTGTTGTATTAAAACATATACTAATCGCGTAAATTACGGACAATACTCATCTATTTTAACATTATAGTTTTACCTTTAGACGTCCCCGCTTCGCTTGCGTGAACCGAAACTTGTTCATCTGCAGCAGACGAGGTGGATGCAACTGGCTGATCTGGGGTCTGCATCTTGTGGCACACCTCGAATGCTTGTCCAACAGTGCGGACTATACGCATCGCTTGACTCTGAAAAAAAAAGATTGATTTATCCACCGTGACCACGGCTGATACAAAGCACCCGAAATGTCGGGGTAAAGCAATTTTTATAAAAGTAAAACTATATTTCGCTTTAAAAACCGTTCCAGTGTTTTATTTAAAGATTGTTGCAATGATGCACGTGAAAAAAATAAATTCCGCGAATATTTGTTATCTTTTAAAGAGAAATAAAATAATTATACTGTATGCTTTTTAAGTGCGTTTAAGCAGCGCGTGCTCGCTATTAAATTAAATAGTATACTTCTGTTTTAAAAATTGTTTGCCTCCTATATTATATACTTGTATATAAGTCGTCGACAATGTGCGATAATAAAGTAGGCGGGGAGGGGGTAAATTGTGGAGGAAGTCTTACGGAAGAACACAAGTCCTGAAAAACTATCGGAAATATTTAAAAATTCTATACGTGTTCTATTTTATATGTTGTGTGTCATGTCAATATAGATATGGTATGATGGTAGCTTAATATCGAGATAAGAAGTAAGAAAGTTCGTTCGTGCGTTGTAAGAAAAAATTGATGTATATATATATACATCTTAATACTCGTTGATGGAAATATACGAGTGTGCTCGTAATCTTCCGATAAGCCCGATATAATTAGTTGTGGTATAAATTAACTTGTAGGCGGATTTCTCTAGCTCTACAGCGGGATATATAAATCAAGGGAGATACGACAAATATACATTTAAAAATGATCTTAACTAAAACTATTTGCGTATGATTAATGTACCATGGAAATAGGAGAGGTGAATACGGATTCGTAGTGAACGCAAAACGTTATTATATAATTGGAATATGTTTTATTTGGATGGCACCGCAGTTAAGTTAATGCGAGCGGCCTTCGAATCCCGTTAAGCAACATCGATTTAGCCTGGCACCAAAATTGCTAAGCTAATAATCGATTATATATAGATAATAATGAAACAGATGCAAAAATTTGTATACCCCATGTCCTACTTAAGGGATTTCTTTATGACATAATTCACAGGCTGAATAATTTATCGGAATTCGTATTTAAAAGTTGATTTATAATTCTATTAAAATGTTTCAATTCTCATTGAAGGGGATAACTATAATCTACTATAAAAGTTGCATAGACTAATATTTTTAAAACTAGTTTAGAATTCTAGGATAATACCACTAACATCAAATTCTATCACAAAATTTTTCTTTGTAATCACAAACATCCTGATATCGTCGGTAATTTTTGTTTTACTACAATTGGTATGTAAAAGTACCAAGAAGTGCCCCTTTTAAGATATTTTTGCTCAGCAACAATTGTTCAAGAAATGTGCACATGAAATCTCAGCGCAGCGAAATAAATAGATTAACTCAGACGGCTAAACTGAACTAATCTTGATAAATGCAAGTCGTAGTACCTCGGTTTATTGAATCGAGAGTGGCACAGGAAATTCAAAGTACTAATGAAGCCTCGGGGATTTGCCATGCTGTCTCCAGGATTACTCTTTGAGTACTTCAGCTTCAAATGAAATTAATACCGAGTTTACACCATTACTTTTCGCTTGCAAATTCAATCAGTCGTGAAGCTGAGTAAACTTATAAAGGTCAATACAAGTTACAACTGAATCGAAAAAGTATTTGGAGGGTAAATGGATGACAGTAAAAATGTAGTCAAGGACTTTATGAATCTGACTAAAATAATTTTCAGCTTTTGAAAACTTTAATATTTTTCACATGTTATTTTGCACATGTGGAATTGCAAAGAAAAAATCGATTATAAATTGAAGAAATGAGTCCTGAGCACTTGTTAGTTCAGTTAGTAGAGCAATAGCACTGAACGGATGTCGCTTCAAGTCCTGATTATTTTTTCAATTTATAATAAACTTTTTTTTAAATCGAATACAATACTTATTATGGCATATGAGTCGACTTTTAGGCAAAATATTAAGCTTTACTCAAAATATTTCGCAAGAGGCCTGTGAATAAATTATGAGTGAAACGGACATACAAATGTATCTGCTCCATAGCCCACATAAGGAAAGGGATCTTACACCATTTAAAAAATATAAAATTGTTCCAATCTACTGAGTCAAGTGTCCTAACATCGTCATCCCGACCCTATCCCCAATCAATATGGCCGTGTTGAACTTCAATTATCGACAACCTTGACTGTAGCACGACGGGATTGCATTTTCATCGAATCTAGTTCATTCTGCCGTTCTAAACTAATTTGCATTGGATTCGATGGTTTTAGCCGCAAAGATATTATTGGACAAAATATTGAGAGAGAAACGCGAAACTGTAGAGACATATTTGACTCAACTATTTATTTGTATGAGACTGTCGCGGACATTTTGCAAAGCTACTCGAGCAGCTCGACCGTCGTAATTAAGAAATGGTTTCTTCACGTTTCGCAAACTCAAGTGGACGTTGAGTTTTCCTTGTCCATATCCTTCAATCCACCCTGCTGCAGCGTGGTGGATCTAACGTTACCCTCTCTTAGTTTATAAAACGAAGCGATTATTTAGAGTTCATACTGTTCTACTTTTACGCATCGTATAAATAATGCAGGGAGTCCGAACTTTGACTTTTAGATGTCGCCATAATGTGGAAATTTCCCGTAAAATTTCCAATGCGTATCAGCGTAAACAAACAACAATAAATTCATATCGCGTCTAATATTGTCTAGCAATACTGAAACAAGCGGGACCAGTTTTCAAACTCAAACGTCTTCGTGGAAAATTTGAGGGGAAAGTGACGGCTTTCTTTAAATTGAATGATAACTCAATTCTCTGATATTGATTTCCCATTCTTAATGTAAACAATATGCTATATTTTCTTGGAATCAAACTTCCGTACGAACACGTTGATTAGATTCTCTATTATTAATACAAAGTTTAAGCTAAAATGGCTTTGTTTTTAAATTTATTTTATAATTTATGTTCGGGTTAGTTCGTTGACTCTTCGTTGTATTCAAAGCTTAAAGTATAAAAAACTTGGCTCGTTTGCGGCCGGTCTAAGTGGAAACAGGAAAAGTTTTGGACATTTTGCTATTAGGAATTTTCCGTGTAATGTTCTATTTGACTTGAGTTGCGGAAAGTTTCAAAAGAAATAGTTTTCTCGGTGGGCCGTTGCGATTTAAGGCTCATTAATTACTTAAGAGTTGTCTGTTTGTTTTATTATTACGCCTAATATATTAAGTAGAATTTGGTACGGATAATTTCATATATTTAATTAGAACATGGTGTCTATAATAAACAGGTACGCATTAAAATAAATTATATACTATTAGTTAACAACCCTCAATTAACAAGATAGAAAATGACCATCGCTCAAAGGGCTAATAACGAAGTAACTATAAATAAAAATCAACTATTCTCCGGAAAAACGAAAAGAAAAAACCAAGATTCGATATGAGCCGCGGTTATTGGAAAACTGCCAGCTTTTCCCTTACTATTCTTATAATTCACTATATTTTGATTTTTTAATGCTTATCTATCAACTACTGGAGCCAGGTTTTGACAGCTCTTGATTTGTTGTTCAAATCTCAAACTTTTATTTATGTATAGCGGCGCTAGTATCACTTGTTAAAACGACAAGTATATAAAGACTAATAAAAAGTTGTGTGCTCTTCGCATTTACTTCTAAATGTGCCACCAAGAGATGGGCACCATATAAAGCACGACCAACTAACCATATAAAGCTCTCTAAAGTACAAGAAAGCTTAAAGTCTAGCTAAAACGCTTGTAAATAAAATTTATCGGTGTAACCGACACAAATGTCGCATGCCTCAATAATTATTTCACACTTGCACACGAATACACAGACGAGTGTCAGTCACTACACCAGCTCTCACATACAGGTATCTTAGCAAACACAAAATGAAACAAGCATTGACCGAACTAGCCAATACCTCTCACCGAATCCTTTGATGCGCGATGGAAATTCGAAAGGGGAGTAAAATTGGAACGAATTTCTTTTAAGGAACCCTAACTTATTTAATTACCTAGCTGTGCCTGAAGCTCGTCTCCATAGAATAGTTATTTTGGTCATCAATATTTGTTTTTGAAAACTCTGCCTCTTTTAAATAAAAGGTTTTTATTTATTACCTCGTAAACGTCCCGTTTTTCTTCAACTTATCTTAAACATGCTTGTGCCAACGTCTTGTAGTTTACGCGAGTACACTCCAACGGTTTAGAACGCGATATATTTTAATTAAACTTGATTGATTTTATTGGGATGTTATATAAGAAAATCATCAACTAACACCATTGGTTTTCTTAAAACATGTGTATTTGTAAATATCGATTTTTTTCGGTGTCACATATCATCAAACCATTTCAGATTTCAGCCTTACCCTACTTGAAGTCAGTACATTATTTTTCTATGTATTAATAATATTTTTATATAACACTCATAACCTTTCCTTTCACGCGCCCCTTCGTATAATTTACTAATTTCATAATGACTACATTAGGAAATTAGTTTGATAAACATAAGTTTACTAAGCCGATGCTTCATAACAATGTTTATGTGTTACAGGGTAAGGGCCTGTACACACTGACGGCATATCATGCCATAGCGGCATAGCAACGGTTTGCTATGGCATGTGGCAATGACGTAGAATATTTAGCTAGGCATGCCCGCACAAAGAACGAAACAGATGTAACAAAATGTAATATATATTCTAAATTTATTGAAATAGGATTCAAAATAACTTGAATAGTAATAAAATTTGACGGACTTGTTGATCGAATGTTAGCAATGTGTGGCTATTAGTCAATGGGTCGTGGATTTTATACCCATCGGGTCCAACATTTTTCTGAAACATGTTGCACTTCGTGTGTAAATCCGGATATTAAAATCGTGGTAGGAATTTTGATAAATCCGTCCGTGTCAACCACCGTTCACAGATGAAAAAGACGTGACATTTATTCGCATTTCGGTTTAAGTCTGTGGGTTCCGAATATCCAAAGGCAAAATAGGCCAACAGCGCATCTTGTATAGATGTT